AAAAAAAAAAAGAAAATATTCTAGACTGGGGAGGCTGGGTGGCTCAGTTGGTTAAGCATCTGCCTTCGGCTCAGCTCATGATCCCAGAGTTCTGGGATCCAGCCCTGCGGGGCGGATGGGCTCCCTGCTCAGTGGGGAGTCTGCTTCTCCCTCTCCCTCTGCCCCTCCCCCTGCTCATGCTCTCTCTCTGTCAAATAAATAAATAAAATCTTTTAAAAAAAAAGAAGAAAGAAAGAAAGAAAGAAAATGTTCCAGACTAAAGAAGACCAAAGAGGTGTAACCTCTGACTGTAATTCCTGATTCTAGACTGGATCCTAAGCTGGAGGGGAAAAAACTGCAATGAAGGACAATATTGGGTCAATTGACCAACTTAAGAGTATGGCACATAGATTAAATAGAAGTATTGAATCTGTATTAAGTTTATTGAAGTTGGTAATTGTGTGAAAGCAAATATCATTCTTAAAAATACACACTCAACCATGATTTATGTACATGCTTCTGAAAAATAATTATATGTGTGTGTAGATAAATAGAGCAAATGATAAAGCAAATGGAGTGAAATATTAATAATCAATGAATTGAGGAAACGGGTTAAAAGATTTTCTTTGTACTATTCTTACAACTTTAATTTTGAAATTATTTCCATATAAAAATTAAGAAGTCATGTTTATATAAATACTTCAATTTCCAATTCTTTACTCAATCTATTTGATTTTATATTTACACTGACCAGCGTGGTTTCTAACAACATAAGCATAATTATTTATTATAATATTCATTAAATGATTTCAAGCTGATAACATCAGCATTACCACTAACAGTTAACTTGACAAAGTTTGAGATTTTCTTGCAGTTCTCTTTTGTCCTTGGAATATATCCCACTAAGTGTATATAGCTACTATGTTCTAAAATTACTTGAAATAATGTTTTTTTTTATGTGTGGTTATGTTATTAATTTGACATATGGTTAGATTTATTTGTTTCATTTACTCTCAAATTTAGTATTATTATATTGTTTGAAGATTTTATTCATTTATTAGAGAGAGAGAGAGGGAGAGAGATAATGAGCCAGGGGAGGGACAGAGGGAGAGGGAGAAGCAGGCTCCCCACTGAGCAGGGAGCCCGACGCGGGGCTGGATCCCAGGACCCCGGGATCATGACCTGAGCCGAAGGCAGACACTTAACCATCTGAGCCACCCAGGCATCCAATTTTAATATTATTTTAAAATTTAAATTGTTTTTAAATAAACCCTACACCCAACGTGGGGCTCGGAACTCAGAGCCAGCCA